ACACCACTGATCTCTATTTATTCACTGGATTGCTGATTGCCCATTGGTAGTACAGGGATAAAGTGAAGCCACCTGCTTTGCTGTGTCTTGTCTTTTCATATCACCCGAACTCAAACAGTGGATCTGGTCAGCTGGTCTTTTGATGCAATTGATCAAATTTTCTCAACTGGAAGACAAGGAAAAGGGGACATGTCCTGTCCTGCTGGGACATACTTCGTGGGATACACCATTGGAGGATGGTGTGTTTCACAATGCTTTCAGTGGAGGATATCGAAGATTTATGGATTTTTGGTTTTATGATACTCGGATTTCTCCTGTTTCGATTCTGAGGATACCTGATGTATCTACAAATGCAGAGGATGTCGGCGGCAATTTGGGCATTTGGGCGCTCATTGGGCAATGAGCGAGATCGGGAGCTGAGCCGTCTGCTGGGTGTGATTGAACGCAGGCTGCCAGCAGCGGTTGATACGCTCACAAAGGCTGTGAATGAGCGAGATCAGGTGCTGAGCCGTCTGCTGGGTGTGATTGAACGCAGGCTGGCTGCAGTGGTTGAACTCAAAGGTGAGATAGAATTGTCATGAAGCGGTGTTTGTGTGGAGGACCCAAACGCAGAGACCAGTAGGCAGAGGTAAATTAAAGCCTGTTTATTCTGGTTCACAGAACCAGGGGCAGGAATCAACAGAAAAACAGCAAACGAACCTGAACCAAGGGGACAGCAGAGGTAAATCAAACTAGAAGCCAGGGAGAGACGAGACAGGGCAGGCAGATAACAGACAGGAAGCAAGACGGGATGTTTGACGAGGATCCAGCAACAGGAACTGAACAGGGAGGGCTTTTAAAGGGGACAGAGAGAGAGCTGATGGGGAAATTGGCAACAGGTGCTTGGCAGGACAGAGAAACATAGCAAGGGAGGACACAAGGGGGCAGCAGAGGACAACAAATGGATAACTAAGGAAAACAGGAACAATCAGACCAGGACCCTGACAGGAATAACATGTTTGATGTGCACGCTCGCTTCAAGGCTAAAAAGCCCAACAAATTTGGAATATCGGATTCGCCACAAAGAGCCGGCAAGAAAAAGACTCAAGGCTGACAGAAAATTCCTGTGCAGCCTGCTCTCAAAACAATAAGGGTTATTCTGGATTCGGCCTCCCCCCTTTAACAAATCTCCCCTGGATGTTATGGTGAAATGGCACAGAAGAACTGCTGCCCCCCCACCCCTACCCACAAACATCTGTGGATGCTCCCAGAACTGTTGATAAATTTCCATCTCATCAAGGACAATGGCCTAAAGTGGTAGATAAAGTGGTAGTAAACTGTTCTCCCTCTCAGACCCCCATCCCAATGTATGCGATGTATTGTGATGAACGGTTGTACTGAAACTGAAATCTCCATTACAATGTAAATTTTAGTTGACTTTAACTTATAAGAAAAGAAATAGGCAGATCACATTGCATAGTCATTATGAAGTTAATGAAGTCTATAAATCATGTAACGACACTGAGAGATTCCACAGTACAAGCAGCACAGCTCTACACCATGTTGTTTTTAAAGTCAATACCATGATATTCTACAACATCCTTTGGTTCTACTATATGAGTCGAGTTGCATCTTAAATTAGTTTGTTCATTTATTCACTTTTTAGATTTAGTGTTTTTTGTTTGTTTAATATCTATGGGAGAATTATCCAGCCATTTCATCTTCTTGCACTCAAAACTTATAATGCTCACACTCAAAACATGCGCTCTCTCTCAAATATTTTCTCTTCTCTCTCAAATCTGTTTCTTCTCTCAGATTTAATGCTTCTTGCACAGATATTTTCTCCTCTCGCTTGCCTCCTTCTCTGCACGAGTCTCAGATACGGCTCTGCTTGAGGATTTTTTTTGCTCTCTCTCAGATTGGATCGGATCGTCGCCTAGCAACCTTTCCAGCCAATAGAACGACAGCCTCGGAAAGGGTGCGCTTGTCTAACTCTACTGAGTGTGCCTGTGATAAACCTTACCGACAATAAATTGTTTTTTTAATTTAAAAGCTATCCACTTTCGGACGTGATGTGATGTGAACAGAAAACTCCCGCCTCAGAGTTGCTTGTCAGAAAAAAAAAAAAAGTGTGCTAGTCAGGGCAGATGCTAATTCTGCCTCCAGCAGAAATTAAGTGACTTTTCATTGGTGATTCTTGAATCGCCCTTTATTATTTCCTTTTTTTTTTTTTTTTCTGATTGTTGTTGTTTTTCAGCTTCTTATTTTAATAGCTTTTACATTAAAAAGCCAATTTATTGTCGGTAAGGTTTATCACAGGCACACTCAGTAGAGTTAGACAAGCGCACCCTTTCTGAGGCTGTCGTTCTATTGGCTGGAAAGGTTGCTAGGCGACGATCCGATCCAATCTGTGAGAGAGCAAAAAAAATCCTCAAGCAGAGCCTCTGGGTTTGCGAGCGTATCTGAGACCCGAGCAGAGAAGGAGGCAAGCGAGAGGAGAAAATATCTGTGCAAGAAGCATTAAATCTGAGAGAAGAAACAAAGATTTGAGAGAGAAGAGAAAATATTTGAGAGAGAGCGCATGTTTGGAGTGTGAGCATTATAAGTTTTGAGTGCAAGAAGATGAAATTCTTTTCTCAAATTGAAATTATGTGCTCTCATTATGGCAGGATAATTCTCCCATAAATATCTCTATATTGCATCTGGAATTATTAAAAGTTTCATTTGTTTCAGTAATTCAATTTACAAAATCAAAACATGATTAATTATGGATGGATATTTCAAAGCTCCTTTTTCTGTAAATCCTGATGATCTTTCCACTTAAAGTAAATTAAAACATCTTATTTAAAATTAGAATTTCAGACCAATCAAAAGAATATAGAGCACAGAATGTGTTCTCAATGAAAAGCATGTTTAATGGTTGTTATTTTGAAAAGAAACAACCAGAACACATCTTCTAATTTACTGTGAAGTACCGCATTCGTCTCCTAAAAGCAGATTTGATTTAGCTTTGAGAGCCTTTGATTCAATGAACTCTCTGTAATGAAGTGATAAGCACGGTAGGTGTACTTTATTAGGACTTTATTACTTTCCAATACCATAATAATCACAAGGTCAGACTACACACTAAAACCAATTATGTTTGAGTAATTGGAAAATGGGGGAAAGAGTTATAAAAACAGGCCATTTTAACATCAAACAGATCAATAAAAATATATAAAATTTAAATGTTTTAGGCAGAGGAATAAAAATGCTTTTTAAAAATTGTTTGGATAAGGACAGTAAGAGAGATAAAGAACGGGGATTCCTCCGCAGGTTCTCGATTGTAGACATTGTTTGAAATAAAGTATTTTTGTTGATAAAACTGCATGATTACTTCAACCTGAATCTGCCAGTAGTATCAGAAAGTGGTGCATTGATAGGAAGAACAATTAAGTCCCACGCTATGGCTGACAAACACTAGCTTGTATTTAATAAAGATTGTTTTATTAAATCTGTTCTTAATAAAAAGTAAATCAGATTAAATTAACTTCCTTAATTTTACGGAATCAGAAGTTTTGTTTCTCATTTCGCTCACATTCTATTAAAAATCGGTTTAACAACCTAACGAGGAGCATTGAAAAGGATCTCAGAAAGTTTTCAAATTCCAATAAATCTAAACATACGGAAGATAATTAGGGCCACAGGAAAAAAAAATGTAAAAATTTAACTGATTTTTGAATTTTATTTCAGTTTAATATGAGAAAAAAGTCAGAATTCTGGCTTTAATATCAGAATTTTGGATCTTAATCTTAAATTACGTCTCTGAGCGGTCCCATGCATGGGCGGTTCTAGACAGGGGCCAATGGGGGGCCAGTGCCCCTGCACTGAAGACATAATACTCAAAGAAGTTCTTATGATGCACTGGAATAGACATGGTTACTGACAGGTACTTTGGATCTATTTCATTTTTTTCTTTACAAATTATGTTTTACTAATTATTTAAAAACAATAAGGTGATAGCTTCAGTGGTTTTGAGATAGGATCCCAGTTTTCATCTGCTAAATGTTGTTTTTAAAACAGATTTTAAAAAATGCTCTAATTTTGACACCTTAAGAAGAAGAGCAAAACACTGCTCTGGAGGCTTTTCTCAGAGGAAAAGATGTTTTTGCTCTTCTCCAGACTGGTTTCAGCAAGAGTTTGATCTATCAATTGGCTCCTCTTCGTCGTCGCTCTGTTAGTACGTCATATGCTTCGTTGATCTGATTGGTTTATTTGGCCCGTCTATCACCAACATAGGCCAATCAGCTAACCAGTATTTTCGCCCCTTCCCAAAATTACTTCAACGGAAGGTTTCCAGATGGATATGCGGAGCAAATCCATCTGGCGGAGTCAGGTTACAAGTGGCCTGCGTCACATTGGAAAAAATCAGATCTGTGTTTTTCAAACTGCCATGAAAAGATCAAATCCAGGTCGCATGTGGGCATAAACATCAGATTTAGGTCACCTCAGGCTGCTGTTTGAAAGTAGCCTTGGTTTATGCTTCTTACTGGATGGGCAGAGTCACGATTCCCTACATGAAATACCAGTCACAAACGCACAGAGGAAAAACGGCAAAATTACGTTTATTTCTTTTATTGACACAGAAATGATGAATAATGACGGCATATAATCAGTTTCTCACCAAGGCCTAACAAAGAAGGCTACATTTAGGACCCTGACTTCCTCCTTTTAATTTGATTCGTCCGGCAAAGCATTGAAATCTATTTCAGTGTGAGTTGTTTTGAAAGTTTCTTTAGAAATCTAAAGAGGGTTTCTAATGGAATAGAAATGCAGTTTCTCCAGTGGTGTCTACTTTTACACATATGTACATTTCATGTTGTTGTATGATTGGTTTTGCTCCAAATTGTGTAAATACTGCAAACATCACTAAAGAGAGTCATTTTCTTGATTTTTGTTGCTCCTTTAAAACTTTATTATTCATCTGCTGTTATGAGGTAGCTTTCCTGGTTGCTTATACTGTTGATGAAATGTTCCAACAGGTCGGTGAACGACGGAACAAGCTGTCAACCCTGATTCGATTTCCCCTCACTGCTCTGAACATGGCCCCCCATGTGGCCAAGAGAAGTCAGAGCTTGAAGAATCTACATGCAGGATCTTCCACCTCTTCCTCCAGGAAACATCTGTCGAGCCAAAACCATCAACCTTCTGACCTTCTCCTCCCACAAGATTACCTGTATGACCTCTACGCCGTGTGTAACCACCACGGAGGAATGCATGGAGGACATTATACCGGTATGGAAGAAATTATACAAAATATTGAGTATTTTTTTATCATTTTAAAGAGAAAACAACCATTATTCCCACTGCTTTTAGAGATAAGATATTGAAGATTGAAAATACTGATATTTTGAAGTTCCTGGGGGCCCCATAATACAACTATTCTTTATTAGTGCACATTAATTATGTTTTTGATTAAAATCCTTTGGCTAAAATGCCATCAGAACGCTGTTAATATTAGTGTGTCTCAGCCCCCCCCTTCAGTGTCCACCATATTGGATCAGTCCATTTGCTGCACATGTTCAGAAAGGTCCAAACAGACAGCAGCAAACCATTTGAAAACAAACCATGCAAAGAGCAGTGTTGCCAACTTAGCGCTTTAGTCGCTATATTTAGCCACTTTTCAGACCCCTCTAGCACTTTGATTTCTAAAAAGCTCCTAGCGCCAAATCTAGAGACTTTTTTCTGCTACTGGAGACTTTGGAGACAACATCTAAAAGCAGCGAACTCTGCTCTCCAGAGCGAGGAGATTGGTAACCCCGCCTCCTGCTCTCCTCTATCTTGTCTGCTGTCATGATTCATGCAGCTATTATTTCATCCAAATGAAAAATGGAGAACAGATAAGCAGATCATGGCTTGTCTACAGTGAAAAGAAGGACTGGGTTATTTACTTTGGCCTTTTTGGAAACACAGGAAGGAGCAATCAGCTAAGTGAGAATAGGCTTAGTGAGTGACAAAATGTAGAACAAATAATGTATGTCTGTTCTATTAAAATTTCTCAATTCAGGGCCCGCTTCCTGTTTTTGCCTAGGGCCCCAAATTTCCTAAATCCGCCCCTGCAGACCAGGAAACAGGAACCGTTGTAGTCATCAGAGAGTTAGCATCAGCTAAATGCTAGTAGATGTTTAGCAGGATATTTACATTTTTTTTTATTTTTTTTTCCCACGTTTATTTATGCTTTTACATGTGGCACAATGTACAGATGGAGCAACAGTTATACAGTTAGTAAAGTACCTTTAGTATACAAACATAATTGGGCTAGAACAAACCCAAATAAACCCACATACAAACACACACTCAATACACAAAAAAAAGAATAGATAAAGAAATAAGCAAATGATCAAATCAAAGCAAGCACAATGAGATACTGGGGACAGATATATATATAAAAAAAAATAATAAAATAAGTTGGTAGAAGTAAAAAGGTCCACAGTATTAAAATTATGTAAATGTTTTCCCTCAGTCCGTACATACGAAAAAAAAAAAAAAAAAAAGAGAAAAGAAAAACTTCTCAGGTGCCAGGAGACCCCACTGTTGATAAATCAGACAGACTTAACTCAAAGAAGAAGACAAAAGAAAAAATAGATAACAATAATAAACATCAGCTACATACATGCAACTTTATCAGTCTGGAATATTAGGGAAATCAATCTTCCTAAGGGCTTTTAACAAGGGACTCCACAAACCCAAAAATCTTGCGGAGGAGCCTCTTAAGGTAAAACGGATCTTCTCAAGTTTAATAAAATACAATGTGTCTCGAAGCCAGTGGATGTATGATGGGGGTTGAGGCGACTTCCATTTCATTATAATCACTCTCCGAGCCAGAAAGGTCAGGAAAGCCAAGGAGGACCTCTGAAGAGAGGACAAGATGGGCTGTGGAGGTGCAACCCCAAACAACGCAATCAGGGGACAAAGCTCAAATTTTACACCAAAAACATCCGATAGAACAACAAAAACTTTAGACCAATAATTAGAGAGCTGAGGACAGAGCCAGATGGTGTGGATCAAATTGGCTGGGGAATGTTGGCATCTATCACAGGCTGGAGTAACGCTGGGGTAGAACTTGGCTAGACGTGCTTTAGTATAATAAGTGCGATACACAAGTTTGCACTGAATTAGATTATGTCTGGCACAAATAGAGGACTTGTGTACCAATGACAAGATAAGTGTCCAGAGATCCTCTGAAATGTCCCGTCCAAGATCTTCCTCCCAAAGTGATCTAAGGGCGTTCAGGGTGTGTGGACGCAAAAGCGTAATTTGATTGTAAATAAGAGAAATGGCCCCCTTCAGTTTGACAATAGGTTTCAGAAAAGTGTCTAAAGGAGAATCCCCGGGAAGGTTGGGAAAATTTGAATAAGTAGAACGGACAAAACTGCGCGCTTGTAAATATCTAAAAAACTGACATCGCGGGATATCAAATTTCTCGGAGATTTGTTGGAATGAGGCGAAAGTATTATCAATGTACAGATCGTAAAAGGTTGAAATTCCTTTTCTCCGCCATGACAAGAAAGTATCATCTGCGAGGGACGGCGGGAAGGTATGATTCAGGGCTATAGGGGCATAGACAGAAAGAGATTGCAGACCAAAATGCCGCCTAAATTGCCTCCACAGTCTTAAGGATGCGTCAACTATTTTATTAGAGGTATAAAGATTAGTTGAAGATTGCAATGGTGAATGTAGTAAGGCTGCCAAGGACACAGGTTTTACAGAATTTGCCTCTATATTAAGCCAAGCCGGAGAGGAAGGGCTATCTGACCGGAGCCAGTATCTAAAAAGTCTAATGTTTGAAGCCCAATAGTAATATCTAAAGTTTGGCAAGGCCATCCCCCCAAGCTTTTTAGGTCGTTGTAAGAGTTCAGTGCGTATACGAGAGGCCTTCCCATTCCAAAGAAATTTAATAATTATACTATTAAGTTTATTGAAAAAGGACCGTGAAAGAAAAATAGGTATGCACTGAAATAGGTAGGAAAAACGTGGGAGGATGTTCATTTTGATTGAATTAACCCGAGCAACCAAAGAGAGGCCAAGCATTGACCAACGATCAAAATCTTCCTTAACACGCAATAATAAGGGGGAGAAGTTAGCTTTAAAAAGATCCTTATATTTAGATGTAATCTGGATTCCTAAATAGGTAAAACTCTGATCTATTACCTTAAAAGGTAATGTACGCAGTGGGTAGTTCTTAGCCAAAACATTAACTGGGAATAATTCGCTTTTGCTGAGATTTAATTTATAGCCTGACAGATTCCCAAATTTGACAAGTGTGGCAAGTATAGCAGGAATAGATGTACTCAAATTTGAAATATACAGGAGAAGATCATCAGCATATAAAGAGACCTTTGTTCCAATACCATTTCTCTTAATACCTATGATACTTGCATTACATCTAAGCGCAATTGCAAGGGGTTCAATTGCCAAAGCAAATAGTAAGGGACTCAGCGGGCAGCCCTGGCGCGTAGAGCGATTGAGGCGAAAGTAGTCAGACTGACTATTATTTGTCCTAATTGATGCATGAGGGTCAGAATAAAGAAATTCAAAATGTATTTATAAAAAAATGCTTAACAATTCCTGTAATGAATGAAAAACACAATGAAAGAAATAATGTCTCATCTAAACATCCCTCACTTAACAATAAAAGTTAACAATAACTCTCAACTCCCAATAACAGATGATACTCAGCCTCAGCAATGAATGAAATAATGTCTGTTCTGTTGGCTATTGGAAAAAATTAATTCACAAATGAGCTAATTAACAAAAAATACCCGTAATATGTAGCCAACATTTGGAAGAAGAATGTTTTCAAGATGACTTGGATAATAGCGCGTTGTGACAAACACCAGATACAGCACTGGGACTTGATCAACAGCCGATACCGCACCGTGACGTCACCAACCAGTAGGTGGCAGTAGTGTTCTTTGACAAACATGGATGCCTCCAGTAAAGTAGCCTCGTGAGACCATCCTGATCTCGTGAGCTTTCAAGGTTTCACTCGCAGATCAGTCTGGAGACTCTCCGTTAAAGAAAATTTGGAGCCGTTCACCAAACGAACGTCCAATCAGCGTTGGCTTTGAGGCGGGTTGAGGTGTGACGCAACGAGAAGCGCGACAGTTCAGTCTAAAGAACATGGCGGCTTCAGCCGATGAAACTAGCGTAAGCGTGGCTATCGAGCAAGTTTTATCGGAATTACAGAGTATTTCTTCACTGAAAGAAGAGCAAAACACTGCTCTGGAGGCTTTTCTCAGAGGAAAAGATGTTTTTGCTCTTCTCCCTACTGGTTTCGGCAAGAGTAGCCTGGCTTGTGGTTGTGTTTTCGTCGTCGCTCTGTTAGTACGTCATATGCTTCGTTGATCTGATTGGTTTATTTGGCCCGTCTATCACCAACATAGGCCAATCAGCTAACCAGTATTTTCGCCCCTTCCCAAAATTACTTCAACGGAAGGTTTCCAGATGGATATGCGGAGCAAATCCATCTGGCGGAGTCAGGTTACCAGTAAAGCCAATTCAAAAGAAAATTACTCTGAATTAAAAACACTTATCATGTATTGAACAGTATGGAATAATTTCATATCTAAAGAACTTTCAGAAGGTTGAATTCTGAATGTGAGCAAACTTTTCCTTTAAGGCGGTGCAGCAGAATACTGCATGCACCCAACCAAGGCTGTATTTTCCCTGTTGGTGTACAGAAGGAAAATATTGGGAGGCTTCAGTAGATACAGTAAAGGTGCGCTTAAAGATCCAAGTTATTTTAGTGAAAACCTTGATGATTTGAAGATGTCCCTGCAGGGATGGAGTAAACGCCATCTCCAGCTGCTTCTACATTCCCAGATTGAGAGTTATAAACTGTATTTTGCTGTATGAACAGTTGAACTGACACATTTTGTATAAACATAAAAAAAATAGAGTGAATATACAGTTTCTAAAATAACACATTTCCATTCCTCTGGTGTTTCTGCTTGTATAACCAAAATGTCATCAAAGCAGCAGCTCTGCAGACTTTGCTTTTTCCTTTACATGTTGTAACACAACCAATTCTGTTTTATCTTAAACTTCTATTCCTCATAACAGGAACAATTCAGGCCTTAATGTTCGTCTAGTTTTACGCTTTTTAGCAACACTGGTGCGTAAAGAAAATGGGCATTATGCTGGCAGCTGATATAACAGGCAACCACAGTTATAGTCCCTTCTGTTTAAAGGAATAGTACACCCAAAACATGATTAGCCTTCATTTTCTACTCACCCCCATGCTGAACAACACTCTGGAGTACTTTTTTGATATCTCAAATGCATCTGGAGATCTGGGAGGCTTCTTGCTGTCTGCTGACATTCAAATAGTGGAGGTCTATGGCGCCCGAGGCAGAAAGGTCCATAAAAGTCCACAAAAAACGTGTCAATATTCCTCCATACTGCTCGTCCAATGTATTCCAAGTGTCCTGAGTGGGTAGCATCCAGAATTTACTCTAAACGAAGTCATTTAGAATGTTTTTAGAGCATAAACAGTAGTGTATAGGATTTCCTAAAAGCGCGTTCACGACGCTACGGAAGCCGGCAGACCAAACCAGATGAAAGTGCGAATTCAGCATCTGCTCTGCCGATAATGCAAGCGTAGAAGAAGAAATGTGCTGTTTACCTGTGCAAAGAAAGAAACAACGAAAGAAAAATGTCTGAGGACTTCAGTGTTGAGGAAGAGCATGAGTTCTTTGCCGAGCTGAATGCGCACTTTCATCTGGTTTGGTCTGCCGCGGTTTCCGTAGACTCGTGAACTTTAAACAGAAGAAGCATGGACTGGTGCTATGCCTCTAAAAAAACATTAAAAAACAATATGTTCATTTTAAAATAAAGCAATATAAAAGGATTAATCGTTAACTAAAGTATAGAGACCCTTAAACATGCCTTAAGCTGACAGAGCGACCCACTTAGAGCAGGAATTATATCAAAACTGTATAAAATATAGTAACAATTTGCATTTAAGTTATATGTTTTAGTCTGCCAATATGCTCTATCCAGAACTCCTAAAGTGAAAAAGTTTTAGTTTCATTTGGTTTTAATTTCCTAGAAAGTTTTCTTCTATTTTTGGATTATTAATCGATTCATCTGCCAAATAATCAAAAGATTAAATAACTTGCAAAATAATCCTTCTGTTAACATCTAGAATGGAGGTTTAGTTGTCGACTCTGTTAATTACATCCTCTCTTTTTGTAACCAATCTTAAAGGTTTGAGATTGAAGAGTTGTTTTTAATGGTGCTGTCACGTTCTGATCCAGCTTACTGCAGGAACTCTGTGGATGGCCAGTGGTACAGCTATGATGACAGCAGTGTAGACCTGGTGCCGGAGGATGAAGTGTGTACCAAGGGAGCTTACATCCTTTTCTACCAGAGACGTAACATCATTCCTCCGTGGTCGGCCAGCAGCTCTGTTCATGGTAGGTTTCTCTGATGACCAGCAAACTACGGTAGAAGTATTTATCTCATATTCTTGGAAAACGATAATGTTAAGAGCTGTTAATTCAATTCTATTCAGTGTATTTCTATAGCTCCAATTCACATCATGTCATCTCAGGTCACTTTCCAGTTCACCAGATCATCCAGTCAGATTGATTCAAAGTTTTCTATCCAAGGAAAACCAGCTGATTGCATCGACTCATTGACTCTTCAGCAATCCCTCACACTAAGCATGCTTGTAGCGACAGTGGAGAGGAAAAACTCCCTTTGAACAGGAAGAAACCTCCAGCAGAACCAGGCTCAGTGTGAGCGGCCATCTGCTGAGACCCACTGGGGTTCAAGGAGACAGAAGCAGACATAGAAAAAGAAGCATAGATACAAAAGGCAACTGTCAACCAGCTCCACAACCAACTCTAATGCGTCTCCAAACCCTAGACTAGTCATTAAAGATTAAATATTTATTTTTTATATATATATATATATATATATATATATATAGAGAGAGAGAGAGAGAGAGAGAGAGAGATATGTTATGTAATATACAGTTTTACAACCTTTAGATCCATCCTTGGTCCAACACACCTGAATCAAATAGCTGAGTTACATAATTAGTAATTAGTCACTTCCTCCATACTCCTCTTAATAATCTAATTACTTTATTGTGGTGTGTTGAACCAAAGGCATATCTAAAAGTTGCAGGATACCAGCCCTCAGGAACTGGAATTGCCCAACCATGCGTTATCCACATAGGGGTCATACAAAACATAAGCTATGCTGTGGCTATGCTAGGGGCCACAAAGAAAACCCTCCCAAGCCCTCCGTCTCTCCAAGTAGGCCACTACAAATTAGAGGAGAGTGTCTCAAGAAGCCAGGTTCCAGACCCCAGGCAGCACCTGGAGGTGAGCCTAACTATTTCTAGCCAGTATTGTTCAGCTCCCAAAACCGGCTTAGTCTGTTTTATTCACCATTTCATGTCCCTGAAGACAGTTTAAGGACACAGAGGCCTTTATCTTTTCATGCTGATCCTGACGCTCTTTGACCCTGTCCAATATGGTTCTCACTGAGGTATGGTCTTGCATCATTCATTCAGGCTTGGCTTGCCAGTTCCTGCAAAGGACCTGCCAAGGGAGAGACAACCAGGGGAATTTAACGTACCTTTATGATCATCCAAGCACTGACACCCTCCACCACATTAAGCTGTATTTTTGTCTAAACGAAGTATTTGCATCAAGTAGGATAAACAAAAGCATTGGTGCAAAATGTCCAGGTTTTTGCTTTGGGTGGCCAATTATTTAATTTCTTTGAAGACCCTATATGATGGAATATGCTTTTGGTTTTTGTTTCTCTTACTCGATCTCTCACTCTCCTTTAAGGCTCAATAAGTTCTTCAGCATCAGACCACTGGCTAATCAGGCTAACAGGAGACAGCAAGAGAGGCAGTCTGGTGTCTCCTTCTTCCACCAACATCTCATCTTCAGTGCAAGAATCACCACAGTCTCCAGTTGTCAGAGAAAATGGTTTTGAGGAGGAAAGGGGTTAGTTGGAACCTTCATATACGGTCTTTTTTTAAAAGATCTTTCTTTTGAACATGACTAGTAAAGCTTTTTTTTCCATCTTCAGGTGGCTTTGAAAATCGTCCATTTGTCCGAGGACTTCAAGGGCGCAGCGTGAGCATGAGGGTTCCTACCAAACCGAAGGAGAGTCTGAGCAAAAAGCTTCCTATGCGTTGGTCCCTAGGTTCAAAAGATAGACGAAAACCTGACCAGGATTCCCCCAAAATCCAGGAACCTGACCCTGCTGAGCTTGTGCAGTACTTGGAGTCTGGCCGGCGACCCCGTTGTACCAAGGACTCAATAGTAACTGTGATGAATGAATCACGTAGCAGCAAGAAAACACCTGCAGGTAGGGCACCCAGTGTTCGATCTTCAAATGTTGGGAGTATGAGTTGTGTTGGTAAGATGGAACAAGAGCCGCAATATTCTCAGGTCCCAGAGGGTCAAAAAAGGCAATCAGAAAGGACATCAGAGAAGACGTCTGGTAAGACAGCCAGTCTAAGACGAAAAAATGAAAGTGTGGCAAAAGAAGAGACCTCCAGGAATACGAGTTCTAACTGTGGTAGCAACACCCTTTCCAGGAGGAAGGATGCAAGGAGGCACAGCTCTTCGAAGTCTTCTCAAGAAAAAGAGGCGAAACTTAGTTCCAGCACTGGAGTACACCCTAGTTACAGTACATCAAGCCTTCAAGATGGAACTCTGAAGAGACAAAAGGGGGACAAAGCTAAAAGGGATCACCAAGACACTGAGGCAGACAAGGCAAAGACGACGAAAGATGAAGTGCCCAAGAGTCACGACGGTCTCCTCTCTTTTCTGAAAGGCAACTTCCTAAAGAAGGATAAGGACTCTAAGAAATCCAAGGATGGGGAGTCAGGAAAAGGAAGCAGAGAAGAGGAAGGAAGAAGAACCTTACCTAGAACGTCATTACCAAATGGAGCGGCCGGAGGAAGAATCGCAGTTGAGGGAAGCAAATCCAACGGTTCAGGCCGGCGGGTTGACGAACTGGCAAACGGGAAGATAGGACGGTCCTCGGCTGACATTAGACGCTCGCAGAGCTCCTCTAACATACCCACCAAAGCAGAGCAGAGCATCCGCAGGACAGCATCCTTACATCGTAATGGGATGCCCACAAACCCAGCATCATCACGGAGCGTTCCCGCAGACAAACCGTCTTTCAGCACCCTGCAAAGGACCCGCTACAGCACAACCTCTCTGGGGCGCAAGAAGACGGTCCCCGAGTCGAGCTTCTGATGCAGAGTTTTAATATTTTTTACTTATTTGGATAGAAGAACTTGCCACCATTTAGATCAAAGCAATAGAGCCTCTTTTACCTTAAAGTTATTTAGTGGATTGCACAATACAGAAGGGCAATACAGTTAATGAAGGGAGATTACAAACTGCAACTTGAAAATATGTGGCCTGTCTATTTAGACACATTGGATTAAATACTTTTTGTATTAATATAGATATATACATCTATATATCTGTCTTGTTTTTTAGGATTTAAAAGAAGTACCTAACAGAATTATTTTTGTTTATCAAGTTGAACTAGCAGGTACAGACTTTTATCTCCTTTTAATGCAGTATGAGTGTTTGAACGCATCGCTTCATTATTAACTCTGATGGTTTAAAATAGGACACGCTGATTGTGTTCATTTGCAAGAATGTATTTTCTGGGATTAATTAACACAGGTGCTTTGGGGCTTTGTTTCCTGATTATTAACTACTGTATGATTGAAGTTTGTTTAAGGTTAATCTGAATGCCAGACCTTTTTTTTATTTATTTTTTATCATGCATTATTTCCTCTCAAATGTTTAACAATGCAGTGATTATTCAGTACTGTGAAGAAAAATATTCGTACAAGATGGATTAATTTTATACACTGTAGAGGTTATTTTTCAGGACTTCTACTGCTGCTGTTTCTCTATGTTTGTTTTTCCACTATTAATAGTGTTTTGCTGGAATTGTATTAACTGTTGATGCATATATTTATCCATGGGAGTATGGTGGGGAAACAGATGGCAGAGGGAATTTTTTTATTTTTTATTTTTGCAAAGATGAAGTTGGTTTGTTTTTATTGTTGCTGCTGTTCTTACAGAGGTAGAAAATCTGCCTCTTTGAGCCTTAAATCATTGAATGTTCCCCTTAAATGACTGTTAGGCAGATGACTCTATGTGAAGCATCGCATCTGCATCTGCATCTTAACAGCTCCCTGAGAAAAACTGACACCAACTTCGAAGGTATTTGAGTTTATTTAATGTCATTACATTATTTTAGCATTATCTTGCATGTTAATTCTCTATAAACTTCAAGTAATACAAACTAAGTGGCTATGAATAATGTGGCAGCAATAACAACAAAGAAAAACACCCAAACAAAAGTAAAAATTTTATATTATACACATGATTTTTTATTGTGCAGTGTCAGGTATTGCACGGCTATTTACCACAGTTAAATGTAATCAAATTGGTGCTGCTGCCAACTAAGACAAGTTATTATGATGCAGAAAAAGGTTTTCTTGTGTTTTTCCCTTTGGAAAGTTTAAAACATTTTAGTGAAGTGAAATGATTTAATACTTTTTCTTTAGTCTTCCATGTCCTGCATTTACACAGTGATTGCAATCGAAAATACTGTAATACTTATAAAAACCAAAAGGTGACGATACATTTAATAACATTAGAATTGAAATTTGAAACGAGAAGATTATCGGAGTATGTGAAACAATTCAAAGTTAAATACTAGTGTTGCACCGATACCGATGCCAGTATCGTGCAGGGTCCTGATCCAGCACTAAAATGGTGGTATCTGTATCGGCGAGTACCAACAAATAGCGCACCGATACCATTTAGAGCAGTGTTGCCAACTCAGCGACTTTGTCGCTATATTTAGCGACTTTTCAGACCCCTCCAGCGACTATTTTTCAAAAAAGCGACTAGCGACAAATCTGGCGACTTTTGGAGACTCTTACGTGAAAGCATGTATCATTCCTAATCCAGAGATGGGAAGTAACGAAGTACAAATACATGGTTACTGTACTCAAGTAGATTTTTCTGATATTTTTACTTTACTACTTATTTTTATGGCGACTTTTTACTTCTACTCCTTACATTTTTACACAAATATCTGTACTTTCTACTCCTTACATTTTTTAAAAATTGGCTCGTTACTTTAGTTTTGAATCATTTCAATGGAGTTACCGTTATTATTTTTCACGTCATCAATACCAAATTCAATCTAACTGGATGGGAATCTACGTTGCATTTGACGCACCACTACAAGATGAATCGACAGATTCGGCGGTATTCATTGGCGGCAAATCATTGCAGCTTGGTGGCGGTGGCGTTAGCATAGTAGCATGGACGACGAGATGATTGAAAATGAACACAACGGAGATCTAGTCCTATTGGCAGACATCCATTTAAAATGTAGGCAACGGCATGAAAAAAGTGGTTTCTACTTTTACTTTTATACTTTAAGTAAATTTACAAGCCTGTACTTTGTTACTTTTACTTGAGTAAAGAAGTTTAATCAGTACTTCCACTTTTACCAGAGTATTTTTTAACACAAGTATCTGTACTTTTACTCAAGTACGGAAAGTGAGTACTTTTGCCATCTCTGTCCTACTCTGCCGTGGGGCGCCTCCCCCATCCCAACCCCGTTCTCCCGCAGGAGTCCCTCTCAGCGCTGCAGTCAGAGCGGCAGGATGTTTACCCTCAGCGTCCAGACTGCAAATGAAGCGCGCATGCGCCGGGACTGACGGCGCAAATTGATCACGCGGTGCTGCTCCGCCCCGACTTACATTCAAGGCGGGAGCGAGCGGGATGTAAATGTAAAATGTTTTTTGGTCTAAAATAAATAACTGAGTTTGAAATATTTTATCTTAAAGCTACAGTGTGTAACTTTTAGCGACATCTAGCGGTCAGACTGCAGCAACATGAACATCTCCCCCCCACCGCTTCTCCCCCCCAACAGTACGGCGAGCGTTACGGGACAAAATGTCTTCCACGACGTCCGCATCACCTACCTTCTCAAGTGATGAGGTTTGTTTACATAGATAATTTTACAGATAGTATTTCATTAGTCTGTGTAGGGTATAGATTTCACCTAGACTTAAGATAATAAATATACCCGTTATTTTTTCTACATCGTTGTGACCTTTTGGCGATCTCGCAATCGCTAGTTTGTTGGCTCTGCACTGCCTTAGGGCAAAGATGTCTGCCTCCATGGCTGCGAGACCCGCTCCTATGTAATTGTAAATAAGGAATTCTAAGGCAACGCAAATATTAAGGCTAAGAGGCTGAGCTCGTAGATGATGATAAATAACATAGTTATGTATAATATATTACATTTCTGACTGTATATCCCTGTAATTATTACACACTGTAGCTTTAAATAAATAACAGCATTTGATTCACACAGCCACAGCCACAGTGTGAGTAAAAACACTATATAATAGTGTTTTTACTCACTTTTTGTCTTTCTGTAATGACATTATTTCTCCCACAGCATCAATAACATGCACATCACTTCCTGGCAGATTATGCAACGTAGGCGATGATGTCATTTAGCGACTTTTAGCGCAGCCAATAGCTACTTTCCGTACTGAGGAGTTGGCAACACTGATTTTGAGAGCCAATAGTTTCTTCAACTATTGTCACCAATTCCAGGTAGGTAATAAAACGTTCTACTGGATTCACTTTGTTTTAGTGTTTTTCCTGCTTCACAAAGGTAGGCAGCAGCTTGACATGAAGCCATGATGGTGATTATTTTACATCCAGGTAGTCTGCAGTTCTTCATATATACACACACACATCAATTTCAAACAGATGGTATCGGCCGATACTGCACAGCCAGGTATCGGGGCCAAAAAATGGCATCGGCGTAACACTACTAAATACGCTGCAGGAGTAGTTGTGGCCTTTTTTTTCCCCCCTAATTCTTTATCTTCAAATTACATTCAAAATGAAATGGACAAAGAGTTAAGACTGCGGGATTAATTTTTTTCAGAAAGCAATGGTGACCGTGCTTAAAGTGGGTGTTTTATAAAATGACTCTGCAAAAATGGCCTCCGTTGGAGTTTTCACTGCTGAACAGAAAAGTCTCATTTGAACTATTTGAAAAATATTCTGTAGGCTAAGACAAAATCTTTTTTATTCTTTTTTTTTTTTTTTTTTAGATATTGAGCTCAGCTAAATCTGGCAAAACAGATGCCACAAATTAAAAGAAAAAAGATCAAACCTACAATCAAAAATGGCGGCGGTAGCAGAAATACCGACGCTAATGAAATCCTTCGCTTTATTGGGCACTTGTTTTTTTTTTTTTTTTTTTTTTTTAACGTCGCCCATTTGATTGGAATGTTTTTTCCTTTTTTTTAAAGTTAAAAATTCTATTTTGAAAGTATTCAGATTATTAAATTATTAAATTTCTTAAATGATTAAACTTTGAACTGTGACCAAAAATGAACAGAAGAAACTTTAACATTTTAGAAATGAGCATTAAGTAAATAAAAAAATTTACTTTGAGAAGCTTTTATTTAATAATTAAGTTGTTTCAGGTAAGAATTTTATTACCTTTTATCACGATGTACCTTAAAGTCTCTGGCATAATGCACATTTTAAGGAGATGGTTTTATTTTGATGTTGAAAAGTTTGTATTAAATATGTTGGACAAACTGTTTTCTTCTGCCTTCATAACTGTAAATAAGAACTTTGGTGCAATAGAAATATCTTTGTCTAGATAAATCAGTATGTTATAATTCCCAAACTGCAATGATTGTTGAAACGTTGACAGATGAAATAATTTTTTAATCCTGAAAAGGTTATATTTGTTGTTTATAAGTTCTCTTCTGATCAGAAATGCTGTTAGAATCGAATATCTCATGTTTTGTTGTAACATTTTTGTGGTCATTAATCAAAGATTTGGGCGGTCAGGCAGTGGTACTTTATGCATATTTTTTTAAAGATTATTGTGAAAACAAATTATTTTTGTAAATTTTTTTACATCTTTGATAAATAAGTGAAAAGATTTAGCAAAAACTGCTGCAACAACATAAAAACACTAAACTCTCACTGAATTTCTGAGTCTTTTCTTTCTTGAATGTTAAGAGGCACGGAGCTGGCTTTTATTTTGGATGCCTTTGTTTGCGAGTGATGAAAAGGATCCTTACTGACTGACATTTTAGATGAAAGACAGAAAAGGTCAAAAATCATCTCTTGACTTTGTAAAAACAAGCTGAGATGCGTATTTATCAGCAGAGCGGGTCTCTGCCTTTGTCTGCTCTAATCACAGCATTCAGTGAGAAAACCAAACTATGTTATCGTGTCCGGCTTATAGTTTCATTCTAACCTCCTTAATTACATCCACTGGTTTCTCTCTCAGCTTATTTTCCTGAGCCTATTAATGTGGAAAAATTCTATGATTTCCTTTGTGGTAAACAGCCTGTTCTTATATTCTATTCAGTTTATTTCTATAGCGTGCTTGTAGCGACAGTGGAGAGGAAAAACTCCCTTTGAACAGGAAGAAACCTCCAGCAGAACCAGGCTCAGTGTGAGCGGCCATCTGCTGAGGCCCACTGGGGTTCAAGGAGACAGAAGCAGACATAGAAAAAGAAGCATAGATACAAAAGGCAACTGTCAACCAGCTCCACAGGCGGCCCCGTCCAGGAAACACACAGCCAGGCAGACGAGCTCCGAGCCAGCTCCCATGTCAGAGGATGAAGAGAGCACATCCAGTTAGTCACAGTCAGAGAAACAGGACTACACTGGAAAACAGGCCGATCTCCAACATCTAGAAACAAAGGTGTTGATGGCTAGCCTGTTGTAGTCCTACTCAATTCTAGTCAGAATGAGTCTGATGCTGCTCCATAGAGCTGTGATTATGGGGCGTGTTTCGAACGAACCAGGAAAAAAAATGCCTCTGCACTCAACTGGATAGACCTACAACCAATAAGAGCAACGGAGTGCGTGATGTATGTTAAGGGACGCATAGTTGTTGTCAACAAAAATCAAAGCGTGCAGTTGCACGCCTAGAATAAGAAGATGAGCCTTGATCGCGTTTCTCTGTTCCTCTTTTAAAATTAATTTGCTGTCGATATCTTCTAGAACAGACCTAATAGCAGAATCTACTCACCTCAACTCTCCAGCGGCAGCCATTGTTGTTGTCACCCAAGCGCGCTTTGGTCACGTGGTTGATTACGTTACTGTTGATCATCTGTCCATCATCGTATAAAGCCCGCCCTGACAATTTGATTGGCCCGCCAGATATTGTGCTAGCATACTCGCGCTACTATTGAGCAATGCCAGACCGAACTTCCCGACCTCAAACGTTGTGGGCGGGACTAAGTTCAGAATGGCACCCAGGTTAGTTGATGGCAGCAGCACAGCTGATATTTCTCTCCAGGATGGAGTCACAGCCAAACAGGAACAGACCAGATGAAGCTACTATGAGAAAAAGCAGAGAGAGCAGAACGTTAGAGATTGAACTAACAGATTCTGCAGAGTGGGAGAATACAGATAGAATGAAGCAGAATGATGAAAAAGGGGTCCCTATGTCCTCCAGCAGTCTAAGCCTTTAGCAGCAGAACT